ACGCAGAGATCTGCTGGTGTCAGAGGGGCCATTGGCAGTCCCATCCACTGATGGACGCGAGTAGAGATCTGCTGGTGTCAGAGGGGCCACCGGTAGTCCCACCCACTGATGGACAACGACACCGAGAGCCGCTGGTGTCAGAGGGGCCACAGACAGTCCCACCTACTGATGGACAACGACGCCGTGAGCGGGTGCACTTTGATTCGGGTGTGTCGAACGACACGGTAGGTTAACACAGCACAGGCTCAGATATGCTGCAGTTCGCACGCCAAATCTGTGAAGACGACAATTCATTACGGCTGGTGCATGAATGGCTTCCGAAGATAGACAGCCCTGAGTCTCCCTGATGGCCTAGACCGCGCCATCTGGCAGACTTAACCTGACCCACATGATGACCCAGCCAGACCCATGCAAAACACCCCACTCGGTCCACCTCAAGACACACAGACACATTCGCCTGCTCCCTGACAAAAGACGACACCCCAGCTCCGATCTCAGGACACGACATCCCCCCCCTTCCCCGCCCCCATCCCCAACTTTTCTGGCCGTATTGACACCAACGTCCGACGCGGCCACGCCCTCAGCCAACACACCCACCTGGGTCCAGAAGGCAAACAGCCGGAGCTGGCGCACGGGCGCGAAGAACAGCACGGGCACGGCGATTTGGGCGACCAGCACGGCGACCAGCACCGCCCTCAGAGCCGGCGCCGGCAGCTGGTGAGCCACCCACGAGAGCGGCGTCGGCAGCCAGTGGTTCTCGAACAGAGTCTCCAGCGCTGCACGGGGACGAGGGGCAGGTCAGAGGCTCTCAAACCGCGTCGCAAGTATCGCAGGAGGACTGCGGGGCGAGTCGCTGGAATAAAAACACGCGGCGGATTTCAGCAGGCTCTCCCAGAGATTCTGACTGACGCCGGCGTCGACAGGCGGATTACTATTATCCCTTAGTGGGGATCCTCGCCGTTGCCGCCGGTGCTTAAGGACGGGCCAAACATCAGTCTCAGGCAACCGCAAACAACTTACACTAACCTATGAAATCGGCTAGACGACACGCAATCTCACCCTGTGCGTCCTTTGTCCGTCAAGCCTTCAGGGCATTCCCCCTCCCTCCACACACACGCACACCACCTCTCCCCAGCCGACTCAAGCCGCCTCCACAGCACAGCTTGTCCCCCCCCCCCACTCTCCCCATCCCCACTGATGACCCCTCAGACCAGCGGCGCCCCACTCCCGCAGCAGTCTCACCCGTCAGCCCCCACCAGGCCGGCACCGCCCAGCAGCTTCAGCATGCCGCTGGCGAACGTCAGCCGGAACAGCAGCCAGCGCACCAGCAGCATGCCCAGCGCGTCGGCCGGCTGGGCGCGCCGCCACGGCAGCAGCGGGAGCCAGCAGCGCGGCCAGCAGGCCGGCCTCCAGCAGCAGGGTGTCCCTGGCGGCCGCCAGGGGAGCCACCGTCAGCAGACGGACCGCCAGCAGCCAAGGCGGGGGATGAAGGAGAGGACGAATGCGTGAGCGATTGAGTGATAGAGGAAGTGAAAGAGAGTGAGTGAGTGCGTGAGTGAGTGAGGAGTGAGTGAGTGAGTGAGAGTGAGTGAGTGAGTGAGTGAGTGAGTGAGTGAGTGAGTGAGTGAGTGAGTGAGTGAGTGAGTGAGTGAGTGAGTGAGTGAGGGTGAGTGAGTGAGTGAGTGAGTGAGTGAGGAGTGAGTGAGTGAGGGTGAGTGAGTGAGTGAGTGGGTGAGTGAGTGGGTGACTGGGTGGCTGGGTGAGGCAGGCAGGCAATCAGTAAGTGTGAATGAGTGTATGAGTGAGTGTATAATTGAGAGGATGAGTTAGAAACGAGTCAGTCAATACATGAACAGCCAATAACTGTACAAAGACAAGAGCCAGTGGCACAGAGGTCAAATTGTGGGAAGATTGGTGAGCAAGGAAAGGAATGAATAATTGCCATAAGCTGCACATGGCACAATTGCACCAAATAATACCAGTGGGCGTTCAAGACACTTTATTAGATGCAAATAAGCTGGGAGAATGTGGCCATTAAATGACAAATAACGTATGAAACCTGAACCATGAGATCGAAATATTTCACATAAGTCAACACCTCACGCATGCGTAAATCGCTATCACTCACCCCTGGAAGAGGAAGAAGACCTGGCTGACCTGGGTCAGCAGACCATATGCCAACAGCAGTCCCAGATACACCAGCGATGTCCGGAACAGCTCCAGCAGCACACTGACAGATGGGAGGGTGATGTCAGAACACGTGGTGGAACAGCTCCAGCAGCACACTGCAGAGGGGAGGGTGATGTCGGAACACGGCGGTGGAACAGCTCCAGCAGCACACTGCAGAGGGGGAGGGTGAGTCAGAACACGGCGGTGGAACAGCTCCAGCAGCACACGACAGAGGGGGAGGGTGATGTCGGAACACGAAGGTGAAGCACATTCGCAAACACACATGTGAGAAGCGGAGGTACCCCGCGATCACCTGAGGTAGGGCAAGCTCAGGTTTTCCACCAGATGGCTACCCAGCAGAGATCGACCATGGTAGGATCGTAACGGAATTCTGCTGTTCCTTCCGTTTCCCTCCCTCAGTCCCTTGCCGACAACGGATCCTGACTCTCCGCCCGCTGCCCAAGAATGGCGCTGACTCAGCTCTCCTCGCCCGAACATTTCCGCCGCTAACTTTCAACGATTCATGGTCATCTGAATATAAACGACCAAAACGTTCGTGGGTTACATTGCCCGCACGCATTGACGCCCGCGTCCATACGACGCGCCTTCTGAGTTCAGGACCGGCTGCCCGGTCTCTCCGGCCCGCCCTTACACCCAGCCCAAGACCCATAGGACGCCCGGGTCCGCCAGCCCCACCTCCCTGCCTTCACGCAATCACCAATGCCCTCCCCTCCTCCGGCCCCTACCAAACACGTTTGGCCGAGCGCGGCAGCACGCAATAAACGTCCAGTTCCCGGCCGAGAACTGGCGCTCAGAATCTCTCCGCGCGCAGCTTTCCACGCTGGACCGCCTCCCGACGGCACGCCGACGCCAAACACCCTCAGCAAGTCCCCGCATCGACAGGCCCGCCGCACCACTGACCCGAGCAGAGCCAGCGCAGCGCCGGCCAGCGCCACCGCCTCCAGGGCGGTGCTGCGTGTTCAGCGCCAGCCGACCCCGCAGCCAGAGGAGGGCGGCGCGGCCGGCGGCAGCTCCGGCGGCTGCCGCGCCTCCAGCTCGAGGTGCGCCGGCAGCAGCCCGGACACGCCGTACAGACCTGCCGCCGGCGGCCAGACGTCCGGTCCAGACGGTGCGAGGCTCGGGTTTGGGCTCGGCTCGGGCTCGGGCCTCGGGCCGGGATCGGTTCGGGTTCGGGTTCGGGTTCGGGTTCGGGTTCGGGTTCGGGTTCGGGCTCGGGCTCGGCTCGGGCTCGGGCTCGGGCCCGGGCTCGGGCTCGGGCCGGTCGGCTCGGATCCGGGTTCAAGATGTTCCACCTACACATTTCTGTAAGCATTTATGTTGAGAGATTGATAACACATGGTGGAATTGCCTGCTGGTAAGTATCCTTGCATTTTTGTAAAAATAGTTTCCACTTATCACTTCAATGTGTAGTAGAAGACTAAGCAGCCAAGCAGTTGAGCAAGGAAAACAGCCACAGTTCCCCCACACAGTGACAAAATCATTCATTTGGACATGTCAAGCAAATATCTCACCAGGAATCTGTATGTAGAGGGACACAAAGCCCATCAAATAGACGGCTGACACTCCCTTCAGGATGGCATTCCGTGTCAAGTACGTGGAACTCATCCTGATGAAGCCTGCAAGAGCCAGATCATAACGGGTAAGGGCACAACCAGCAGGATGGGCTACATATGTGTCCCAGGCTCCCCAAACAGGCATTGCATGAGTATGACTCATGGTAAGCCAGGTATGGGCAAGTCGTGGGCCTCAAAACCCTGACTAAGTCTGGTTCCACACACATGTCCATTCATCATCACTGTATCCCATTCCAAGTATAACTGGATCGCAGAAAGGTGTTTTGCATGGAAATGGCCTAAAAGAAGCTGGAGTAAGGTTAAAGATCCAGGTCTTTGCTCAATTTCAGTGGGAAATGACTTGCTCATACTGTATGAGCAAAACTGGAATGGAGGCACTGTAGCCAGCTGACCTGTATGAGTCATGCAAGTCAGCTGACTACTGTGCCTCCCTTCCAACTTGCCCATCAGTGCTGGGAAAGCAGCCAGCAGGCACGGGTGGTGCCTATGCTTAAGGTCAGGTGGTGCCTGAGAATAGGACAGACAATACAGTAAACTATTGCATGATACAGTTTTGCCACAAAACTGTGCTGTTAAGACAAAACTTTGCAATGGATGAGGGGGTCAAGACTCACACAATAATGACTGCTTGGTGGAGGCTCTGATCACAGAAATCCATCCTCTCAAAAGTGGTGCTACTGTTCACACATCCTTGGCGGCTATCTGACCGTTGTCAAATGTTTATTGCTATGGAGGAGAATCTGATGATGCTTGGCACATGGCCCACTATGCATTACAGCTTTGAAAATTTTAAATGGCCTAAGGCATCAAACAATTTTTCAATTTGCACACTCATTCTAGCCACTCTGCTGCTTGATCTTCCCAACAGTGCAGAAGCTAGTGCATCAGTTATAAACTTGAAACCATCAAAGCCTCTCCAGATTATGATACACATATGGTACATGAGCATATTCTAAAAATTGGATGTTCTTTCCTCCATGTTCAGCATGATTCAGAATATCAGAAACTCCCACAAAGTGCAAAGCTGTTATATACTATTAGCATAAGTCTCTAATGGGCAATGACATGATACTAATTGTACTGATGAAAAATGGAAGAAAAGAACGGAATGGCTGAATGATGCAATGATGCATAACTCATGTGCCCAATGCAACTGAATAAAATTAATAACTGCCTGAAAATGACAGAACTTTTAGAACCCTTCCAATACAGGAAAGCTTGCTGAATGCATATATAATTTCCAAAGATATGCTGAGGATAGCATGTGCAGATGTGTGTAAAAAGAAAATATGTGCGATTAGGTCTTGACAACAAATATCACAATGATCATCCATCGATTTTTATAAAATCTATGGGCACCAGTACCAAACATTTTCCAGATGCCAAAACCTAAAATTGTGCATGGATTTCTCCCACTGTTTGAATGATGGGATGCATGCATCAAAACATTTTCCAACCAAATGAGCAACAGGAGGGGAGAAACAATCACAACTTAAATTGCCTATGGGATGAGCTGAGCTGATGAGCTAGAGATGATGAGCTGATGAGCTGACCACTTCTGACCTTTGCCACCCTTTCATCATTGCAAGTACACAAACACATAGCAGCTTCAGCGTACTGACCACACCAAACATTCTGTAAATCCCCAAATGTCATTGCCCTCTGCAACGGAAGATCTCCACTTGTCACACTAAAATGGGCAGAAAACACTTTCCACTGGAATGAAAAACGCCCAATACTGAATGGCTCCACAAACACAAACGTCCATGGCGGTAACATTAATGCACAAATAATACCTCAGAGGCTGTGGGCAATCCTATAGACCTACTCCGTTGAACGCCTCATTCCTTTCTCCAGAACAAACCTGTAAGGCCGGATATTCTATAAACCAGCAGCTGCTTGGGGAGCCACGCTCGGCTCTAACCTAATCCGAATAACGCCCACTACGTGGCAGGACGCTCCCCGTACCGCGGGATTGTTGTTGCCAACATTTGCTCGCCTCTTGGGGCCTGCATCGTCTCCCCTGCGCCGTTTCAAACTTAGCATAGAGTTGGAGCTGCATTATCGGTATTTATCGACATGGTTTTATCCAAGAAGTCAACTTTTCGCGTTCATTTTCTATTCACATTTTCTAGTGCTAAGATAAGCGTCTCAGACGCTAACCATTAGTGTTGATCTACACCAAGCTGTGAAACGGACAACGCAAGCAATCATATTTCTGAGTACTATTATTTTGTTGGTATTACAGCGCGAAGATGACATTTGCGGCGCACTTGGACCTGTGTGGTGAAATGTATCTGAATGTTTGTAGCGTGTATAACCATGATAGCTAATAGCCCCAACCAGCGTGCATATTGTTTACATGGATTGCTGTTGACATGTCCGCTGCTATAAAGGTACAAGTTATTGCAGGCATTGCACGCATAATTGTTACCACCCAATCAGCATGCACCTTGCAGGAAATGTGTGGTTGCTGGTGCATTTATAGACATTCGTAATGTGTTGTTTGCAATGGAGCTGGCCCCTAAGCACGCTGGTACTTAAAAACGTATCGCCTTTGCTTGGTGTACTGTCACTTTTAAACTGGGATCGCTAACCATGTCAGGCATTTATGTGTCATTTTTGGCAAGGGTACCCTGGCAATTAAATTGGCATGCACCTGTGAATCATTGTCACAGTGTATGGGTCAGTCAGGTTAGCTCCATGGTTTGGTCACTAGAAGTGACATACACTGTGTGCTCAGTAGCATTTGTTCTTTCATGATATACATCATTTCAATTATTGCTGTTGCTGGTAATGTGAACATATAAAAGCTTCGGATGAGCTATGGGGGTTGGATTTGACAGGAGGTGGCATATTTTGTAACTTTGTGGTGTGCAATTAATGTTATGCACAGGCAGAAACAGATGAACATTTGGGCTGGCTAGTCTTTAGATGACTTGCGTCAAGCAAGAGTTGATCATTGGCCCTCTGCCAACACAGGGACATTTTTGCACACTGAAGGGGATTGGACCTTGCCAATGTTTGACTTGTTCCTAGTTTGTCCCTATTGCCTGTAATTCCTGGCATTTTATGCTTTTGTAAAGTTATCAATGAGCAACTAGCCTGTAAAAATATTTCATTTTTATCAGCCAGGTGTAGACCTATGTCTAAACTGTCTCATCTGAGTGATGTTTGCCTCTGCTGAGCATCAGGTAGTGCCAGGATGCAGGAGGAAATCAGTTGGCAGTACACAGTAGAAAAAGTTCTGGGTAATTGATTGCACATACTGCAAGCCAATTAAAGTATAAATCACCATCACAGGCACCATTTCCACTCATCTTGTGTTCTGCTCCTCAGAAATTTGTGAGCCAAAGTATATCTCACACCACCCCAATGTGGACGTTCTGCCACCGCGCCGCCGCGCGGGCCGGCGGCCTGATGCGTCTGCACCGCCACCGTCCGTTTGCCACCACCCCCGACAGCGACCGCCACCACGACTACCTCGCGTTGCACGAGCCGGAGGACGCTGAGGCTTCACCGGCGGCGGCCGCGCCACGGCCGCCGCCGCCGCCCGCCGGTTGGTGCGAGTTTGACTTCGATCTCGACGCAGCTGGACCGCATGCGCCTGCAGCGAGATAGCGCCGACTGCGAGGCCGTCATCTGCACCAGCTTCGGCGTCATCAGGCTGGATAGCGACAACCAGCCGACAGTGCACGGCCAGTTTGAGCCGCGGGAGACGGCAGCCTCGGACGACGTCGAGGTGGGCACGTTTGGGGAACTGGAAGCGGCAGACCTGGCGCGGTCGGGGTTGCGCGCCGCGGACCCTGGTCCCGTGCCGGTCCGGGACCGGCCGCGGTCCCGGGCGGACCGGTCACGTTCAGGACCACAGGAATCACTAATGGAGTCCGCAGAGTCCCGTCATCACGCCGGAAGTCCGTCCGCCGACGCCGCGACCTTCGTCGACAACCAGTACTTCCCCGAGATGGACGCGATCGCCGCCAGCGCCGCGTCAGAAATCGACACTGCTGCGCAGAGCGACGCTGGCGCCACGCTGCGGGGTAGCCCCGAGGGTGCGTTCGAGGAGCAGTACTTCGCGAGCGCGTTCGACGGCGGCGCTCCTCGCACTTGGCCGCCGCCGACCACGTCGCCGGCTAAGCGACCGCTCGCCAGCGACGCCAAGCTTGCCGAAAAGCCGGACGGTGTCTTCGACGAGCAGTACTTCTGGAGCGCGTTCGAGGACGTGGAACAGGAGCGCGAGGCGGCGGCGTACAAGGCGAGCCTTGCTGCCAGGCACGGACGGGTGTCGGGCGCCGAGCGGCGTGCGCGGAACGCTGACGCTGTGGGCGTGCCGGAGCTAGAACGAAGCTCCGTGCCGCAGACTCGGCAACCGCAGGCGAGTCCGGGAAGAGGAAGGGGCTCTGAGCCAGCGAGCCAGGCGGAGAAGCGGTCAGACCCGGGTAAAGAAGGGCAGGGACCTGCGGCGGGGCTGCAGCGCCAGGCGGTCCGGAGCGGGGCGGACGGCGGAGGCGCCAGGAGCGGTTCGTCGGCGGTCCGGCGGGAGGCGTCGCCGGACACCGGCGGCGGTCCGGGGACCGGCGTGGACGGCGGCCCGCAGTCCGGGCTGGCCGTGGTCCGCGAGCTGCGCGCGGCTGCACGGCTCGCCGCCGCGCCAGCCGGCAGGGGGCGCCAGCTGCGCGCGGAAGTGCCCGACCTCGCCAGCCAGCCAGCGCACGCCGTGGCGGCACTGCTGCGGCGCGGCGTCCTCCACAACGGCCCCGACCTGGCCGTGCTGTACAAGCCGTTCGGCATGTCGGTGCACTCTGTCACGGAGCGCGCGCCGCACTGCCTGGCGCAATTCTTGCCGGGCCTGGCGCGCCACCTCGGCTGCGAGCGGCTGTTCACCGTACACCGGCTGGACCGTGACACCACCGGCGCCATCCTCGTCGCCAAGTCGCTCGACTCGGCGCGGCGGCTGCACGACCTGTTCCGCGAGGGACGCGTCGTCAAGACGTACTGGGCGCTGGTGAAGGGCGCGCCCGAGCAGCGGCGCGCCGTCATCAACATGCCCGTCGAGGAGGGCACGGTCAGCGGGCGCACGCGGATGACGCTGGCGGCGGCCGGCGGCGGTGACGTGACACCACCCGGCGCGCACGCGGCAATAACGCGCTACCGCGTGCTGTCCGCGGCCGCCGGCTGTGCGCTGCTGGAGCTCGCGCCCACGACAGGCGTCAAGCACCAGCTGCGCGTGCACTTGGGCCTCGGGTTGGGCTGCCCGGTGCTCGGCGACCACAAGTACTCGCGCTGGACGGTGGCCGACCGGCCGCAGCGGCTGCCCGGGGCCGCGCTCGAGGCGCTGGGGATCCGCCAGCCGGAGGCGCGCCACCTCCCGATGCACCTGCACGCGCGCGCCCTCTGGCTGCCCGGCCTGGATGGCCGGGTCACGGCACCGCTGCCGCTCTTCTTCAAGCGGAACTTGCGACGGCTGGGACTGAGTGCCGGCCAGGGGCGCCCGACGGCGAAGGGGGAGTAGCGCACGCGGCTTCGAGGCGGGTGAATGAGGGGAGAGAGTGGGGGCAACCTGTCCGGAACGGGGGGGGGGGGGGACCCTGGTGGATGGATCGAAGCCTCGCCGTTGTGCGACCAGGGGAGCTTGCTACCAATGTCAGTATCCCACTGCTTTCCGCAGGACATGACCTCTCTCTGGAGAGCAGATGTGAAAGTTGCGAACTTAAACTAAGCCTTGTCGGCCCGGTGAGTTCCAGAGGAGGAACGCACGAATGAAGAGAAGCCACCCAAAGCTGGAATTGGCATGTGCTTGACGTCCGTAGTGCGATGTTTAACAATGTTTCTGTGCCGATATCAGTGCACATGCGATATTTGTAATACATTGTCAGTACTTTTATCTGCGTTGATGACTAATGTGGTGGTGGCCCCCTTCGGCGTAGACAAGAACGGGACGAAGGGCGCGTCATTGGTGACCGCACCGCAGTGTGTCATTGGTGACTGCGCCGCAGCGCGTCATTGATGACCGCGCCGCAGCGAGTCATTGGTAACTGCGCCGCATTGCGTCGTTGGTAACTGCGCCACAGCGCGTCATTGGTGACTGCGCCGCAGCGCATCGTTGATGACTGCGCCGCATCGCGTTATTGATGACTGCGCCGCAGGGCGTCATTGATGACTGCGCCGCAGCGACCTGGTCTGATTTCTGTTTTCTTGTTCAGTGTTCAAATCACATGTACGCATCTGCGGAGGGTTTTTCACCGTGATAATTGAACAGTGTATGCTCACCTTCATCGGAGATATGCGGCGTTGCTCATCATGATATATAACGCCTTGGTTTGGCCTTGGTATACCACAGAGGCGTCTGCTGAAGAAAAAGCTAGCGTGCGCGTTGATTTCCTTTTGTAACCCCCGATTAGTGTTCGTGACATCCATTGTCATGCTTGCAGAACCGGTCCGCGGAATCTTTTGACGAGATGACTTGTGTCGATTACTCGTTTGATGGTTTTGTGTAAATTGTACGCATGTTTTTGCGCCCTTTCTGCACATCGGCCTGCTGTATTTTTAAGATTCCAACACTCCACCAAAATAATTGCACATGTCCTTCGTCTCCATCACCACAGGCGTGCGAAACATGCAACGTGAGATGAGGCTAGATAAATCGGAACAATCAGCCAGCCGCGCGCTTGCAAAAGGGCCGCACAGAAAAGCCTTCATCCGCCTCGCGCCGGCAACACTACCTTGGCACTACTTTGCCACTAGCTCGCGCGTGCTTTGTCGCGTCCAGTCCCACTCAACAGAGCACCTTCATCCAGGCGACCTCCGTGAGCGACGGTACAGCCTCCGCTACCCCCGCCACGGTCACATCTTGTCCGTTTGAGTTCTCCACGGCGGTCGCCGAGAACAGGTGGAAACCCCGCTCTTGAAGCCCTAGCAGACCGGTGTATAGCCGCCGGCGAAGCTTCCTCGCCGCGTCCTGCAGCTTCCCTGACCGGCCGTCAGGTACCAGCACCGCCGTCAGGTTAAGCCGCACGGTCAGCTGTTCCACGCGCCGCGCCAGCGCCTCTGGTGGCCGCTCGAGGAAGCGCGCCAGCGCCGCCGCGTCCAGTTCGAGCGCCAAAAGGCTAATGGGGCGGTGCTGGTTGCCAGGGAGCTGGTCCAGCTCCAGCGACAGAGGAGAGGTGCGGTGATAAACCCGGCGCTGCGGCGGCGGCCGGTCCGGGCCGTGCGAGCGGACCTCGCAGCCGAACTGGGCGGCCGCCTTGTCGAAGGACACATCCTGCGAAGGCCCCGAGTGGTCAACGCGAGCGCTCGGAACACGGGTAGCCCAACACTGCGGTGGTGTTCCGCCATTTTTGTCTTTGATTAAAGTCATACCAGCGAGTAAGGTCCGATGTCTGGCGCATCAGGAGGCACATCCGCCAGCTGAGGTATCCATCGTGACACGACCAAGCTGGTGACTTCGATGGTTGGATGCGACGACGAAGGAAGCACTGTAGCACGAGATGAACGCAGAGATGTGTGATAACGCGAAAGAAAGTTAAACAATGGCATTGCACTAAGTGATGTGAAAGGCCCATAACGAGCAGCAATTGCACACTAAAATGAATTGCAATGTGTGAAACTGATAAGACCGTAGACGCAAAATGCGACCACGAAATGGTCAGTTTGCTTTCTTTTGTCGAAAATGTCACATTTGTTTCTCCCAAACCTCAACCGCACATCGCCCACGATACCTGCGGCGGTCGGGACGACACCACCAGACAATCGAGCCCTGCGAGGCTCAGTCCGGGGTCTAGGCAGGCCCATTTGCCGCCTCCGATCACCGCACGGCCCCGGGCTCGGTTGTATAACTGTGGGTGACGTCATCAGCGTCGGCTCAGCCGTTGTGAGATCTTGAACCGGAGCGTTATTGGTTGAGAGAACCGTGCATCAGCTGAATACAAATCGACGTGGGGAAAGCTGGTCTTGAACGCATTGCTTGACCAGTTGCATTAAGGAGTAATATGGAATGATTCACATGATGATGGATAAATGAATGATAATTGCACGAACATGATCAGAGTGATAGTGATTCTTCATGCCAAGTCACTAAACCCGATTCTCAAGGGAGGACGAATGGAAAGCGAGAAGGGTTTGGAAGATAAGCTTGCAGAGTGGACAGTGGCGGTTATATCTATAATGGGAAGAAATAGGCACCTGCAAGCCGCGGTCCGGTTAGTGTGGGGCCTATAAACTCCCCCTTCAGGCCCCCTCCCCAATATTTTAGACGATGGGGAAGTCTTGCATTTAAAGCTCACAGTTTGTGTCGTCTTAATTACAGGGGTTACACAGAAGATAAATGCCACTATATCCTTTACCAAAGCCTCCAAGTCCAACAGCGAGGCATCAATCATCCATTGATGAACTGCATTTTTTCTGTCGATTGGGCTTTTTTACAAAGATTTCCACCAATGTTAAGTGTGGCAAAGAGAGCACCACCTAAATCGAGAATGAGCTTGTCGTTCCTTTGGGCCCCCAAATAAACTTGAGACCTAGCTCCCCTAATTTTAAGGAAAAAGTGGGAAAAATCCTGAGGGTAACCCATTGGCTGCCTGTTTTGAACGGGAGGTTTCAACATATATCCTTACTCAGCCCACCCTCCGATAACTTTTTTTGTGGAACTACATCCCTGGTTTTAATCCTTTGGCTGGAGGGCCGATGGGCTTCAAGTCATTTGTATAAAAGGGTATGTGGCGTACTTCGTCACGCCCCTATTATGGAGCGCCAGCGACTACATCGGCCATATTAGCCCTTAAGGGTCGTAACGCAACCGGGCCATCACGTGGAAGTCCGAGGCGCTGATCACTTGGCAATTGCGCACCGGCCTTCAAGCCCTTTACTGACCGGTTCGCCTCCCATGCCGAGCTCGCGTTTGCAAGGCTTGTCTCCAGTCATGGTCAGATGTGTGAAGAGGACCGTCGCTGTCTCCCGCTCCGTGGCCGGCAGCGGCGGCAGTAGCACCACCCGGTCCATACGCTCTTCACATTCGCTCCGGCTGCGGGAGGGACTGCGGTGTCGTAGGTTGTCGGGTACGACACGCTGTGTGGGGGGGGGGGGGGGGGGGGGCGGCAGAGCACAGGGAGGCAACATGCGGTACGGCGCGTCGGGCTGTGTAGACCAGTACGCTATAATACAAGACGCTTTTTTGTAAAGCACGTGACAAAAACGTTGCGGAGCCCCGATTAAGTTGGAGAATACAGCACGTACGTTGCAAATTGAACTACAGCGCATAGTACGTTAAGAGGCGAAGTACTTCCTGCTTTATTTTAATTTATATTGCATGCTTTCCACTTCACATTTTACTTAATGTAGAATGTTTTCCACTTCACATTTTTCTTGTCACCCCGTCAGCATGGAGAGAAAGCGCTACCAGATTAAATAAATCGCTCTGACAAAATAGCGCGAGCTTGATGTTGTACCTCCGACGTTTGCGAGCATGTTCGGTGTGATGGGAGCACTTGTCCAACTATGGGAAGATACGACGTTGACAGGGGCAGATCTAAAGGGAGCACGGGGTCATGCCCCCCCCCCCCTGGATGTCGATTTCTCAAAATGATTGGCGCGGCCCGAGTCCCAAAAGTCGCCATAAAGGGACAGGCACGCAAAAGTTCTGGGATAGGGGGCCAGATGTGCTTATGGTTCTGGCTGCTCGTTACATATTCATGTGTATATATATATATATATATATATATATATATATATATATATATATATATATGGGGGTGAGGGGTGAGGGAGTATGTGTGTGTGTGTGTGTGCGTGCGTGCGTGCGTGCGTGCGTGCGTGCGTGCGTGCGTGCGTGCGTGCGTGCGTGCGTGCGTGCGTGTGTGTGTGTTTGCGTGTGAGAGTATATAGACTGCACTTGGTACACATTTTTCAGATCCCTGCGTAGTCACAACAATCACACATGGAAGCCTGGCAGTTTGCATCACCTTCGCATAAACGCACTTGTTTTGTGAAGCTGAAGGGCTATAGTTGCGCCCAGGGGCGGATTCAGAGGGGGCCCACAGGGCTATACCCCCCCCCCCCCCTCTTGGGCCCCAAAGGAGCCTATTGGCTCCGAGGGGGCCCATCGTCGGCCGAGCAGGTGCAATTTTTTACACAAAACGCAGCAAAACTGGATATCTATGGTCTTCCAGACGACCAAGAACAGTTGTAAGCGAAAGTGAAGGGCCTATGAGAAGTCAAAAAATTATTCGATGATTGGAAAAGTTGTGAGCTGGAAATGTGAACTGTGGGGTATAGCCAGGGTCCTTTATCTTAACTTGCCGAGATATTCTCGGTCGCTCAGGGGCTCTTAAAATGAGTCTTAGTTAACCTACAGACACACATGCAATATTCTCACGGGCCTTCTTCATTGGTCTAGGGCGCTTCCAGCTCCCTCTCTCACTTGCTTAGGGTCGTGCACTCTTGTCGGGGGCCTATCTGATGGCCTGCTCGGGCACACCAGTCGTTCGGGGACCCTTAACACTGGGTTTTGGGTACTTCTCTTCTTAATGGGGGGCCCTACGCTTTGGAGGGAGGGGGAGGCTATCTTCCCTGTCCCGTGCTTCAAGTAAGCTAGACTGACTTACATCCGGAGACGATGGAGACTCTACGTCGGTGTCCTGTTCTTCATCGGACATCCTGTTAAGCCTGGAGCGAAAATCCGTGCATATATCGGGCCACCTCTTTACTTTAAGAACTCACGCTTGGTCCGCTCGATAAACAGAGGTTGCGGTAACACCGTTTTCACAGCAACAGCCGCCTGGCGTATTTATTTCGGTAGATATGAAAACGGTAGTGATAGAGAAATTCTGCAGCAAAGCTACCAAATTAGAGAAGTTTTCACCGGGCTGTCAGGTCCTCGAAATACGAAGAGTAAACATCGTACGCAGTTACAAGCGCGCGGCGAGGTGGCAGCCAAGGCCTTATAACAGCAGCGCGACAGCGTGATGGCGGCGTAGTCGTTAGAGTACTTTACGTCTCGGAGATTAGAATGTAACTGTGCTGAGCGAGGTGGGCAAATTGCACAGCCAGTTATAGCAGTACGGTCAGTCATAGTTAGCACAGTACTAGTCATAGTTAAACTTCAAGTAATTTCAAGTAATTATTTCAAATAATTTCAAACGTGCGGCTGTGGTCAGAATACCACCACCGGGTCACTTAAACCTAGTGCGTGGAGTTTGACATAAAAGGCTTTCGTTCCTCTCACGATCAATAACGGTGAGGAGCAGTGAGGAGAGTAAGACAAAGCCACACACAGTGACTCTCAAAGGACTTACCGAAAACAAACTGCACTGATTATATGGGTGTTGTTTCACAAAATGAGTTCGTGGAGGCGAGCTGAGCAGTGAGATAGAATCCCAATTACCACAACATTACGACAGCAAATAGATTTATCCACGAAGCTAGCCCATAATCTTCTCTAAATTCGCGTGGGGGGGTAAACCTCATGCGTGGAACATTTAGTTATATGTTTGAGTTCGCCTAGAACGCGCCACGTGATGTCACGACATTCGTGATGCCACTCGATGCAAACAACGTGGTAGGGTTGTGTTTCCCAAAATGAATTGTTTGAGGAACTGAGCCATAATGATCTACGAGACCAACCTCAAAAGGACGCCACCAGACGGTTTTTTCGTGGATTTGCCCCCTTTCTTCGCAAAGTTAGAGAGACGGGAGTCTAAGGGAAGGGCGTGGCACTACGACTGAATCGGGAAGTACGCCCTGCAACCTGAGGCTGTTAGTTTGTTGCATGCGTACTCAGTGCTCATGAATATGGCCGATGACTTGAAAGAGGGAACGCAAGCGACTAGTAATCCTTGCCCCGAAAATACACCACCGAGCATCGAGCATCGAGCATCAAGCTTGTCCGGCTTTGCATACTCATATTTACTAGACCATGTCCTGCATCGACACGAAACTCGAAACTCGACACGAATCGACACGAAACAGGCGCGTTCCTCGTGCAGTTTGAAGCGTAATTGTATGCGTTTTTTTGTTGTTGTTGCAAATACTTATGATGTATGGCTCCGTCAACGTAGCACCTTTACGCCCGCCGTGTGTGGTTCGCGGAATCGTCGATCGCTGCCTACCCCCCCCCCCCCCCCCCCCGCCCCGGTCGTAGATCGCCACAGAGCACTCCACGTTCGGGGGAACACAGGCGTGTTATATGTGGGGCGATGGCGACGACACTCACCAGTGCTGGGTGGAAAAGTGGGGAGGGGGGGGGGGGAGAATGGGGGAGTACGTGAGCCGAGGCTCATATTGCAATCGGGGTAGGGATAAAAAGTATCTCATCTCGATTTTGCTGTCCTGTCCCGCCATATGCCTCCATTCCTGTGCTGCATGTCTGGGAAACCAGAGCCATGGGGTTCGATTGCCCACGGTGCACGCTCTTCCTGCTGGGGTGAGGGGCAGATGACGTTATATAGCCTCAGCAGCTGAGTGCTTCGTAAAATTCCAATGATGGGTGTTGTTCTACCTTGTCATCTTCTGCCTCATGCTGTTTTCTTCGCCTCTGTCCTCTTTCACTTTCTCATCCTGCTCCGGGCGCTTACCTGTCTTGTGCTGTCTTGTTGCCACCTATCCCCCCCCCCCCCCGTCTCCTGTCTTCTGGCTGCCATGTCATACCCAGCGATGGCGGAGCTTCTATATAGGTTGGGTGACGGAAAGCATGATTTTTGCCCCGTTCTTTATGTGGAATTCATTTTTAGGTGTGTTTTCCCATTCTGCCTGCAGATCTTTTTTAACAAATCCTGCAGTTCAAAACGTCCTTTCCAGCACAGGTTGCCTCCCACAGGGGCGGATCCAAATGGGGGGGAGGGGGGGGGGGCTACGGGGCAATGCCTCCCTTGGGCCCCGAAGGAGCCCATTGGCTCCGAAGGGGCCGATGGCCGGCCGAACAGGTGTAGTTTTTAACACAAAACGCAACAAAACTGGGTATCTCTGGGCTTTCAGGCGACCAAGAACAGTAATAAGCGGAAGTGAATGGCCTTTGAGAAGTCAAAAAGTTATTCACTGACTGAAAAAGTTGTGAACTGGAAATCTTAAGCCTCACTACATTGTATAGGAGCCCCATGCTCTTTCCGGGACCTATATGCCCTCTTGCAGGATAATTTCGATCGTTAATGAGCATTCCACGTTGCCCTTTATTTCTTTGCATTTGCTCGGAGGGCTCTGCGCTGTTGTTGGGGCCCTTCCTGTTAACGGGCTGGGTCACTCTTGTCAATCGCGGGCACTTCCACGGATTCTTTCCATTCGCCGGAAAAACTCTGTGGGCTATAGCCGGGGTCCCATATTTTAACCTCCCGGCGTATTCTCGGTTGCTCAGGGGCCCTTTACGTGGCTCTCGGTTAACCTACCGACACACTTGCGGTATACTCATGTGTCCTCTACATTGGTCTAGGCCGTTTCCAATTATCTGTCACTTGCCCTGCACTCTTGTCGGGGGTCCATCTGATGGCCTGCTTGGGCACACCAGTCGTTCGGGGACCCTTCACACTGGGTTTTGGGTACCTTTTTTCTTAGTGGGGGGCCCCACGCTTTGGAGGGGGGGGGGGCGGCGGCTATCCGACAACCCGCTCGGGCACATTCATTCGTTCGGGGGCCCTCTACATTGGGCCTTGGGCACGTGCTATTTGAATGGGGCCCAACACCCTTGTTGGAGGCCCACTTTGTTCGCCTCTTCGGCCACACTGGTTTGCTCGGGGGGTCTGCACATTGGTTTTTGGTGTTTGAACTCAGGGCCCTCTGCTCCTATCGGGGTCATCTGATAGCCTGTTCGGGTACACTCCATCTCTCGGCGGCCCTCTGCACCGGTTTTGGGTAATTCTTATTTGAATGGAGGGCCTTACGCTCCTGTCGGGGCTCCTTCTGACAAGATGCTCAGGCCCTCCCGATCATGGGGGACCTCTACATGTGTTTTTGAACACTTCCTTTTTGCATGGAGGGCCCTCCGCGCTTCTCGGGGACCTTTTCTGTTAGCCTGCTCTGGCTCACTCAATTATTCGG